CAATTCCTTGTGTTCTTCTTGCTTTCCTGATTCATATCTTATGAGTTTCTTGCCTCAAAGAATCCTGTTATACTCTGTTCTTAGCATCATTTTCCCAATTGTTAAGAAAATATGCATAGTTAAATGCTAAATAAAATGAAGATTTTAGTAGCATACATGACAAAATCTTCATGTTTGTTTTCCTCAACACACTTTTGACAATGACTTATTATGCCTCCAATGCCATCACTACTAAAATATGACATCAAATGGGTTTTTGTTAACACTATACTACACTTGAGAGTTTTAGTTTAATAATAAATATTTAATTTTATAATTTTAAATTATTAATATCAAAGTTGCTCAAAGACGACTATAAATAAACAAAAGTAAATAAATGAAAAATGAATACTCAGGTGTGTTGGAAATAAGACCTTTTATGTTAAGGAGAAGTGTGTGGGAATATTGAAGGTTTGAATATAAATTTGATAAGTAGGATAATTCTTTATGGAGGAGAAGAACTCTGTATTTTTGCTTTATTCAAATATGTGGGATTACATCTCTATTTATAGTACTCTAAGGAGAACTCTAGACACACTAATTCTAGAGAGTTCTCAACTCTAGAGATTCAAAGACTATTCTAGAAAATATTACAATTATAAGAAATATCTAGAGATTCCATATATTACAAGAATTCTCTAGAAAACTACTTAAGCCCAAAATAACTAAGCCCAAAAACCAACTAATAAATTTAGGCCCAAATCAAGTTTAATATTTTCAACATCCCCCCTTAAACTTGATTTGTGACTCCAAGCATACTCCTTAGCTTCACGAAAGTTTCCAACTTTAGTGGCTTGGTGAAAATGTCGACAGCTTGATCTTGAGACATTACATACTTCAACTTCAAGACTTTTTATTCTTGCCCTTTTACTTCATAGCCTAGTGGTTGCTCGATATAAACTTCTTCTTCGAGAAAACCATTCAAGAAGGCTGATTTCACATCCATTTGATAGATCTTCCATTCATTTTGGGTTGCCAAAGAAATGATCAGTCTAATAGTTTCAAGACGAGCAACAAGAGCAAATACCTCATCATAGTCAATTCCCTGTATTTTACTATAGCCTTTCGCCACCAATCTTGCTTTGTATCTCTCCACATCTCCTTTTTCATTCATCTTTGCCTTGTACACCCATCTTACTCCAATTGCTTTATGTCCTTGTAGAAGTGTAGTAAGATCCCATGTATCATTCTTCGTGATAGACTTGATTTCTTCGTCCATGGAGTCTCTCCACTTTATGTTTTCTACCGCTTCTTGATAGCTTAGAGGCTCACAATCAACAAAAAGGCAAAAAAGGTTAATGTCGTTTTAGTTTTCGGTTACCTCATAAAGCTCTTCAATGCTCCTTAGTCGTGGTGTCTTCTCACTTGAACTTGTTTCATCCAACCTTGGTGTCAGTGAGGAAGGTGGTGTAATATGTTCCTCTATCATTGATTGTTCCATTTCTTCTTCTTCTTCTTCTTCTTCAAAGTAAGGAAGAAAATCATACTTGTCTTCTTGAGCACTCCAATCCCAATAATCTTTTTCGTAAAACTCCACATCACGACTTATGATGATCTTTCCACTATTTGGGTTATAAAGCTTGTACCCTTTAGAGCTTGAGTCATAACTCACAAACACATACTTCTCACTTTTATCATCGAGCTTTGTTCTTCTTTCATCTGGAACATGGGTATAGGCAATGCTTCCAAATACTTTGAGGTGAGAGATCCCAGGTTTCCTTCCACTCCATGCTTCTTGGGGTGTCTTTTCATGCACACTTCTTGTTGGGGAACGATTTGTAAAGTAAACTGCACATGCCACTACTTCGGCCCAAAACTCCTCCGGCATCTTCTTGCTCTTGAGCAGGCTTCGTACCATGTTAAGTATAGTACAATTCTTTCTCTCTGCTATTCCATTTTGTTGAGGCGATCTTGGCACAGTCAGTGGGCGACGGATTCCATGGTCTTCACAATATTTGTTGAACTCATTTGAAGTGAACTCTCCTCCTCGGTCAGATCTCATGGCCTTGATGGAAAGACCCCTTTCTTTCTCCACAAGGGCTTTGAACTTCTTAAAGTTGTCAAATACTTCTGACTCCTCCTTCAAGAAATAAACCCATATTTTTCTGGAATAATCATCAATAAAGAGGAGAAAGTATTTATTCTTACCAAATGAGTTGGGTTTGATTGGTCCACAGACATCCGTGTGTATGAGCTCTAGTGGCTTTGTCGCTCTTGACGTTGATTCCTTTGGAAAACTTTTTCGGAATTTCTTCCCAATTAGACATTCTTCACAGAGTTGGTCTGGATGGTTAATCTTAGGCAAGCCTCTCACCATCTCTTTCTTCGACAAACGTTCTAAACCATCAAATTTGAGGTGCCCGAATCGTAGATGCCATAACCATGAAGAATCGGTATAGCAAGCCTTGAGATACTTTGCTACGTCATTTTGAATGTTAAAGAGGAACATTCTATTTTTTGACATAGGCACCTTAGCAATCAAGTTATGACTATAATCTCTTAAGAAAATACTATGTTCTTTTAAGTGGATGTCATAGCCTTTCTCTAATAATTGTCCCAAACTCAAAATATTATTCTTCATGTTAGGCACATAATAGACATTGGATATGAATTGATGACTCCCATTCTTCAAGCGTATGCGAATTTTACATTTGCCTTTGATCGATATCTTTGAGTCATCTCCAAATGATACATCACCAGTTGCGGCTTCATTGATCTCTACAAACATGCTTTGATCGCCACACATGTGGTTGCTTGCGCCAATGTCCAAGTACCACTTATTTCTTTTCTCTTCAACTTCGTTTTGACACGCGAGTAACAAAGTTTCTTCTTCTCCACATTTTTCTTCTACAAAATTAGCTTTCTCTTCCACCTTCTTCGAGAATCTACATTCGGTTGCGTAATGACCAATCTTGTTGCAGTTGAAACATTTGACTTGTGATTTATTGCTCCTCGACCATGAGGTTCATCTTCCACGACCTCTAGTTTCTTGTGGATTCCAACTTCTTTCTCCATTGTTGAAGTTGTTGGAGTTGTTATTGCAACCGCCTCTTTCTTCTCCTCCATGTCCTCGTCCACATCCACGACATTGGCCACGACCTCGTCCTCTTTGGCTATTGTAATTCACATAGTTTACTTCCTTTATGTTGAGTTGTAGTAATTGCTCCATAGCCTCCTTTTGTTTGATTTTTCTCTTTTGTTTTTCTTCGTATGCTTGTAAGGAACCCATGAGTTGCTCAATAGTCATGGCCTTTAGATCCTTATTTTCTTCAATGTTGGTAACAATGAAGTCAAAACTTGGATTTAAAGTGCGAAGTATTTTCTCCATGACTTTCACATCATCAACATCTTCACCATTTCTCTAAAGTTGATTGACTACAGCCAATACTCGAGAAAAATAATCTGAAATTGACTCGGACTCCTCCATATATAAACGTTCAAAGTCACCTCTAAGAGTTTGAAGACGAATCTTTTTTACCTGCTCAACTCCTTTGTTGCAAGTTTGAAGCTTGTCCCATGCTTCTTTGGCCGTTGTTGCGTTGGATATCTTCTCAAACGTATCTTCATCCACCGATTGATAAATGAGAAAGAGAGCTTTCTTGTCTCTCTTTTTTGACTCCTTCAATGTGTCTCTTACACCTTGACTTAGCGAGGATTCATCTTGATCCCTGAAGCCTTTCTCAACAATATCCCACACATCTTGAGCTCCTAGTAGCGCCTTCATCTTGATACTCCAATTATCATAGTTGTTCTTTGTGAGCATCGGCATTTGGAAAGGGAAATCACCATTCCCCATTTTGTGGATCTTGAAGCTCTGATACCACTTTGTTGGAAATAAGACCTTTTATGTTAAGGAGAATTGTGTGGGAATATTGAAGGTTTGAATATAAATTTGATAAGTAGGATAATTCTTTATGGAGGAGAAGAACTTTGTATTTTTGCTTGATTCAAATGTGTGAGATTACATCTCTATTTATAGTACTCTAAGGAGAACTCTAGACACACTAATTCTAGAGAGTTCTCAACTCTAGAGATTCAAAGACTATTCTAGAAAATATTATAATTATAAGAAATGTCTAGAGATTCCATATATTATAAGAATTCTCTAGAAAACTAATTAAGCCCAAAATAACTAAGCCCAAAAACCAATTAATAAATTTAGGCTCAAATCAAGTTTAATATTTTCAACAAGATGAAATCTCGAGTAACAAGCTTAGAGAGTAAGAAAGAAAAAATCAGGTTAGTAACTACACCTACCATACAGAATGGCTTCAATCAATGCATCCCCAACGCCAATTGTATCAACAAACTCGGATTTTAATGTCAAATTTGAAAAGGCATACAAATGCAAATTTTAAATGAAGTTATCATTTCTTAATCAACACATATAACTTATTTAATTTAATTGGATTCAAAGCCAAATTTGAGCCATAACAAATGTTATATAGATTTAGATTCTTGATTGCTATTTTGATCATAAAAAGATGTTTCACTGAATTGCTTTAACTTATATGTTGATATGATTTTTGGTGTCAATTAACAGTGACACATATAGCTGATCCGAAGATATACTAGGTTGTCTTAGATCGAATGATGTAATATTGAAAATGTCAATAACTAAACTGGACAATAATACTTTTCAAACACTAATTCAGAGATATTAGAAGCCTTTAGCTTTTGCTTTAGACCAAAAGAATAAAGGGAAGATACATAGTAGCTTTTGCTTAAGCTTGAGTCTCACTCAGCATTAATGAACATATTGCACTTCAAAAGCAGCAAAGTTGAAGAAAGGAATAAAAATATTAGTAACTGACACTCCTAATATGAAAGTCGTGTTTGGAAGAGAGTATGCTCAATGTTTTTCCAAAGTATCAGATTCATTTCTTTTCTTATATAAGACAATTACGCATGCAGTATATCTGCCTTGTACCTACTTTCATTCTGCATTTCGATCTTGAGAAATGGATGATTACGCAAAAATGGATGATTACGCAAGTAAGTCTAAACTTTCCTTATATATTGACACTCAATAGCTTCTCCACATTTTCTTATTAATTAACGCATCTTGAAAAATGTAATTATGTAGTTGCGGCGTTTCAAGACCTAGTAATGGAAGAGAAATGGGAACAAGTAATTGAAAAATACAATCAAGATAGCAACTATCACAACATAATAATCAAGAGAAGAGGAACTGCGTTACACGCGGCAATAAGCAGTGCGCACAAATGTGTAGTGAATAGTCTTGTAGATGCAATAATAAATCTTTATAATGTAAGAAGTTTGAGAATAATGAATGAAAGAGGTGCTACTCCTCTTCACATTGCAGCATCTATAGGATTCACTGATGTGTGTGAACTTATAATTGGAAAAGAAGGTGAAAGGAAATATTTGATTCAAGAAAAAAATGCAAATGGAGAAACACCACTTTTTTGGGCTGTGCTTGCTCGTCAAATATTAGTGTTTGATTACCTACAACAGTTTTATCCTCTTGACCTCAATATTGCCATCGATAAGAATAATACTAGTATCCTTCATCTTGCCCTTAGGAAAGAAATGTTTGGTTAGTTTTTTTATCTTTTACCTTATTTATTTATTATTTATTCTTTTTATTTGTTAATACTCAATTTTCTTTAATTGTCTTTTTAAAGTAACAAAAGAAACTACTATAGAGGCTGACATATTTGTTTCTCCAAGTTTCGACTTTATACCATTTATTGAGCAATTGTATTTAATGTTTTAATTACAATAATCAGTTATATCTCGTTAGAATAAAAATAATTTTGAACATTAAATCTTGTCAATAATAATAGTCTATGTTTCTTGTGCAATAGATTGGGCGATTATAATAATGTATTGCTACAGAGGTCTTATCTCTATGAAAGACAAGGATGGCAATATTCCTCTTGAAATTCTTGCTACTAAGACATCAGCCTTCAAGAGTGAATGTCGTCTATCGTGGTGGAAGGAAATTTTATACTATTGTAAGTTACACATACTTATGAATATTATAGATAATGATTTTAAATTCCTTTTTTTTTTTAATTCTTCAATTGTCAAAATTCATTCATGAAGTTGTGGCCAAACCCTATAATTAAATTCTCTGCACCCTCCTTGTGTGTGATCTCATCTTCCTCTCGAATGAGGGAGAAGAAAACAAACATCAAACATTCTTTTAAGAGTGAAAGAGATTTAAAGACAAATATAATATATCAATATTCCTTAACAATATTAATATGCCTCTATTTGGAGGACATTAAGTTTTATTGAACATGACACTGCCAAAATATACCTTGATAACTCCTATTCCTTGTAGACCCAAAAAATATAGAAAATCATAAACACCGGGGCTTAAAAGCACCATACCACCTTCCATTGTGAAAAAACAACGTAGCTTGGAAGTCCAAATGACATTCTCTAGCATTATTTTTTACTTTCCGATCAAATGTCATGAAAAAAACATTTAATGTTGTTTTCAAAATTTTGGTTTAAAAGGTGTTCCTATAAGCTTCTACAACGGAAAAGATGAAGTGGAATTGCATTTAAAGAATGTTATATTGAAAGAAAAAGCAAAGAATGGTATGCTTCTGATGAACTAGCTCTAATGATCACTTTTCCATTATTATTTACTAAAGACGTGTCAATATTTCAGAGAAAGATGAATATAGTGAAGTAGCAATACATTTACACCACAACGAGGGATTTGAAAACACAGACAGAATACGGCTTTCTATTACTCAATTAATTCTTCACATTCTAAAGTTAGTATTCATATGGCCGATCATGTCACTATTTGGTATGTATATTGAACACTTCTAACTTTAATTTTACATTCTTTGATTTAAGTCTACATTTATAGTGCACAAGTGAGACAAATGTTGAATATATAAGTTTGTTTCCACAACTCGATCAATAAGTGCTCTTCTACTTAATTAATTTTGAAGATTTACATGCAATAAAGAATATTAAGAAGAAGCACATATATGGTGGTTGGATCTTGAACGAATTTATGAAAAAACCTATGGAGTCATACATGGATGGCGGGGATGATCCAACAGGTGACATAGAATATGATAGACAAATGAAAGATGATTTTCGTGAGTTTATCAATCGCGCACGGGAAGGAGGTAAATAAAAATAAGTACAAAATATTAATAAAGATAACAATATGATTAGAATCTAAAGTATGAAATAATCATTATTTGTATATTTGCAGGCAATTCCTCAATGCAAGAGACAAAAGAATACAAAGAAATGGAAGATTTAGAAAATATTGATGTGAAAGATAAAACATTTTTTGCAGCAAAAAAAATATCGAGAGAAGAAATTATGGAAGAGCTTAATTCTAAAGTACCAATTACATTTGATAAGAAAGGTTTGATACTTGTTGCAATGAAGAATAATAAAACGGAATCATCAGAAGAGGAAAGTCCAGCAAAACATACAGCGTATTTGATTGCAGTAAGTTTTGGAATACTTGAGATGATGTCCATTCTTACATCAAAGATAAGAAGCGTGATCCACGACACTAACACTAAAAATGAAAATGCAATGCTCTTGGCAGTAAAGAATAGGAAACCACATGTTATTCGATGGTTAATGAAGAGATTAACTAAAGAAGACATTGATATCCTATGTTTACAAGTTAATAATAACGGGGATACCATGTTACACTTGGCAGCATATACTTCAGTCGAGACAAAAAGTACTTGGAAGATATCTGGCGCTGTCATGCAAATGACGTGGGAGATCAAGTGGTATGAGGTACATTTATAGTTTTATAAGAATCGACTTTGAGGGTGTGTAAGGTGGACTACAACAAAGAGCTCAAAATTTACCAAGGTTTAACTATGACTAAATATGATCTCACGCAATTTGTCGTAGTTAAACCAAGGTTAAATAGGGTCTCTCATTGTTTTGTCATGGCTAAGTCGTGTATAACCACATAGCCCATAAAACTTTAAGAGAGACCTATGTTTAATTATTACTTATCACTATATGTTTATATGTAACTTTTTTTAAGTATCATTAACATATATTTTCTGGTACAGTACATTAAAAACCTAGTACCAGAGCATTTCAATATTTTAGGCAATAAAAAAGGAAAAATTCCAAGTGAAATCTTTGAGGAGCAACACACAGAATTTCTAAAAGAAAATGTTGAGTGGTTGAAAAACACAACAGAGTCATACTCAGTTGTAGCAGCTCTCATTGCTGGTGTCGCCTTTGCGACATCAGGTAGTGTACCTGGTGGCAATCAACCAACAGGAGAACCAGCATTAAAAGGACAACAGGGATTTGAAGTATTTGCTATAACTTCGTTAATTGGACTTTACTTCTCCGTCACTGCGCTCATCATGTTCCTTTCTATACTCACTTCTAGAAAAGAAGTCCAACAGTTTCGTCTAAACTTGCCAATGAAGCTTCTTTTCGGCTTGAGTTCTCTCTTTGTATCCATTGTTGCCATGTTTGTTTCTTTTTGTGCAGGACATTTCTTTGTGCTCACAGATAAATATACAAAGGGAGGTGTCTTGTTCTATTTATATATTTTCATTTGCTTGCCTGTCATATTCTTTGCAGCTGTGCAGTTTCATTTGATCGTTGATCTTTTTAAAATTATTTTGATAAAGTCTCCACCAGATACTGTTAAGGGGTTTCTTCACTAGAGGTGTTTGTTTTGATGTATTTTTATGTGAATTGAGACTAATGTGTTTGGTTTGTACTTGATTAATGTCTTTTTTTAAGTTGAGTACTGGTGTGAATGTAGTGTGATTTGAATTTTTTGTATAACTATAATGTGTGAAAAGAATGATATGAATATTCAAGTTCCTTCCCATCTAATTTCTCATATACTATTCATATTATTAAATTGTTTTTCTGGACTGGGCCCGACAGGCCCAAAGGCATTGTAAAGGCCCAGTCCAAATGGAATCACAAGGGTCACGCCGACCAGAGAGCACGACATGTTGCTCGACGGCAAACCTCCTGCTCGGCATGCTGCGGTCCAGCACCACAACCTGAGGTCCTGCTCGACATTACCTCGAGCAATCCAGCTAGGGCAGACTCAGTCCATTGTTCCCCCAACGATACTCCGAAAAGACCGCGTCTCCGTCCGCCCGCAATTCACGCAAACATCCAGGAAGGGGACCACGTGCGGGTCCTCACTACGCACATAGAACCTGGCAGTTCCTCCATTGGGCCAAACCTGCCCGGCCCAATGAAGGAACCTTGACCCAGCGCTGGGGGCTATAAATACCCTCTGCTTCCAGAGGGTCAGGTATTCATCATTCTAACCTTACACTTGCTATTATCTGCTCGTACTCCTACTTACTTCAGCATCGGAGTGCCTTGCAGGTACCCCCCCACCTCGTTCAAAAAAGCTTTCTGCTCGGAGCCAGCCGTGACGGTCCATTTCTGATCAGGTCAGATCAGTGGCGCCGTCTGTGGGAAACTAGCTTCCCCGTCTAACGAACAACTCTAAAAGACCAAAGCTCAATTCAACTACCTGTCATGGCTGATCCAGCTCGTGACGAGCAGCCCGTCCGTGTCGCCGACACTAATAACGGTACCGCGGAAAAGAATGGACACCTCGATAACCCCGGTGATCCCGGCCACAGTACCATCCCTGTGACGACCGCCCCTGGACCTTCCTCCTACAGGGACGGGGCTACTGCATCATCCTCTTCGACCCCTCCAGCACTCGAAGACGACCCGGTAGCTCTCGCTCATCACAGAGCTGCCCGGTTCTATGAAGTCCCAGTTCCCGCCGGGGCAGATGCCACGACTCAGGCACTGTTCGCGGCCACTAATCAGACAAATTATCTCATCTTCGCCCAAGGAGAAAGATTAAGGGCACTTGAAGATGATCGACGACCCCCGAGGAGGCATCGAAGGCCACATTCTCCACCTCCTCGGGTCACGGAAGCTCGACACCCTTCTCCCCCGCGAAGACACTACAGGGAGAACTCCAGGAGCCCTTCTCCCCGGCCAAAGCAGAGGCGGCCCTACCATGAGAGACAGCCCGCCGTCCCTGCCGGAGAACCCAGTCGCGACCCATCAAGGCACGACAAGAGGCACGCCGGGGACGGGCGTGTGACCTTCAACCACCGAGCATCACGCTCGAGGGAAACTCAGCACGATCATCGTGCCAGACATAACTACAGGACCCCTTCTCTTTCTCCGGAGAGGAGCGACGAGGACGACCCCCGCGGTCCCCTGTCGCAGGCCATCATGGATGCACCCATCCCCCCGGGCATGGAGAAGCCCCCGCACCTGAAGGAGTATGACGGAGTAGCGGACCCGGTCGACCACATTGACGGGTTCGAAGCCATGCTCCACTATCATAATGTCGGGGGGCCCATCAAGTGCCGTCTTTTCCCCACGACTCTCAGGAAGGCGGCCATGGACTGGTATAAAGGACTCGCCCCGGGCTCAATTACGTCGTGGCGGAACCTGAAGAACCAGTTCATCAGTTCCTTCACAGCTTCTCGGCGCCATCCGAAGACCGAGGCGGCCCTCGAGGCCATCATCCAAAGACAGGATGAAACCTTGAGGGAATTCATCAACCGCTTCAACCGGGAAGCAATACAGGTCCCCTGCGCGGACCATATGAAAAGATACTTGTTGGAGAGGGGTCTCCTCCCCGGCACAGAATTCAGAAAGGCTGTGGGTATTGAGCCACCTCCAACTTTTGATGCCCTCCTCGACAAGGCCCGCGCATACATGGACTACGAGGAGAGGGAAGCTGCCAACAGGGCCCGAGACTCCAGAGCTCGCGGTCCCAACAACAGCAGCAGCTCACGGCAAGAGGCTCTCCCCCGACGTACCGGGGAGAAAAGAAAAGAAGACCGACCCCGGGAGGCCCGGGAACAAAGGGGCCCCTCGGGCCGTTTCACCGAGTACACCTCGCTCACAGCTTCCCGCGAGCGTATTTTGGCGGAATGTGCCAGTACAGATTTCAGAGACGGTGGCGTCAAGTGTCCCCGACCTGCTCCCGCCAAGCCAGGGGCAGATAAAAATAAATACTGTCAATACCATAGGAGTCATGGTCATTTGACAGAGGACTGCGTCCACCTCAAGGACGCCATTGAAACCCTCATCAAGGGAGGGAGGCTCGCACAGTACAGGCGAAACGACGCTCCCCGTCGTGACGCCCATGAAACCAAGGAGCCCGAAGAAGATGCCCGACCATCAGACGAGTCGGTGCCTATCCAGACCGCCTTCTCGGTAACCAGGCCCGAGGATTTCGACGTTCCCGAGCTCCTGCAGGAGCCCCTGACAACACACAGCAGGTGGGAATACTTCCCCTCCGCCATGGTCATCAACGGGGGCGGGTTCAACGACCTCACCATCAATTCAGCTAAGAGGAAGTTGGACGAGCTGGTCGACATAGCTCCTCCGCAAACGGTAACGTTCGAAAGGGTGAAGGGCAGGTCAGAGCTTATCACCTTCTACCTAGAAGAACTCCCCGGCGGAGCCCCGAGCGCAGTCATCCCCTTACTGATAAGGGCAAAAATGGCCAATTTTGACGTGCATCGCATCTTGGTCGACGAAGGGAGTTCCGTCGACGTGATGTACAGCCAGCTGTTCCGGACCTTACAACTGGACGACTCACATCTCTCTCCGTATGTGGGTTCGGATCTTCAAGGCTTCAACGGCTCGACTTCCAAACCTTGGGGTTATGTCGAGCTCCTGGTTACGTTCGGAGAAGGAACGGCTACGAGACAGGTTAAGGTCCGCTTCCTCGTCATTGATTGCCCGTCTCTATACAATTGCATCTTGGGGAGACCGACACTGGCGGAGCTGACAGCGGTGCCCTCGACTGTCCATCTGAAAATGAAGTTCTATACCAAAAGGGCACGGGTAGCCACCATCCAAGGAGACCTCGCCGCTGCCCGCAGGTGCTTCAACGCCGCTTCAAAGGGACGGGATACCGTCGACGTGGGGACCAGACCCACCAAGAGGACAAAGCAGGAGCCCGACAGAAAAGCATCCCCCGAGGAAGAAGTCCAGAAGGCTCCACCAAAGGTCGACTCCATAGCCCTCGACGCCCGCTTCGATCAGGAAGAGCCATCCAGCAACGAGTAAATCCCGCTCCGACCAATCCCGTACGGGGATTTTGAACTCGTTCCCCTCGGCACAGACCCGACCAAGGGAGTGAAGATTGGTAAAGACCTCCCCGACTTGGCCAGGAAGCAAATCAAGGCCTGTCTGCGCGAGAATGTTGATCTCTTCGCCTGGAGCGCTGCAGAGATGCCCGGACTCGACCCTGAGGTCGCCTGTCACCACCTCGCCATTGATCCAGCCGCCAAGGCCGTAGTACAACGTAGGCGTAGGCAGTCTCCAGAAAAAACGGAGGCTGCTGAAAAAGCTGTAAAAGACCTCCTAGAGGCAAATTTTATTTCTGAAGCCCGGTATTCCACCTGGCTGTCAAATGTTGTACTTGTGAAAAAGAATAATGGAAAATGGAGAATGTGTGTTGACTATACCGATCTCAACTGGGCTTGCCCGAAGGATGCTTTTCCTTTACCTAACATAGACATGCTGGTCGACAACTCGGCCGGCTACAAGACTTTGTCGTTCATGGACGCATACTCAGGATATAACCAAATCCCAATGGCTCTGGGCGACAAACACTGCACGGCATTTATGACCAGCTCGGGCAACTATTACTACAACGTGATGCCCTTCGGACTGAAAAACGCCGGAGCAACTTACCAACGTATGATGAACAGAGTGTTCAACAAACAGATTGGCGACATGCTCGAGGTATATATGGACGACATGATCGTCAAATCCCGAGCAGACACCGATCACGCAGCTCATCTCAAGACAGTCTTCGCCCAAGCAAGACAGTGCAAAATGAGGTTCAACCCCGAGAAGTGCACGTTTGGGGTTAAGGCAGGAAAATTCCTTGGATTCTATCTAACAGAACGAGGGATTGAAGCCAACCCCGACAAATGTCGGGCATTCTTCGACCTCCCGACACCGACGTCGAAGAAGTCAATACAAATCATGAACGGCATGCTTACGTCACTATCCCGCTTCGTCGCGAAGTCCGCTCAGCACGCCCTCCCCTTCTTCAAACTCCTCCGAAAGGAAGCAGCCTTTGAATGGAACGAGGAATGCGAGCACGCACTTCGCCATCTGAAGCAGAGCCTGTCTTAGCCGCCCGTGCTGTCTCGACCAGACGACGGGGAACCGTTGTACTTATACTTGGCCGTTTCGAACGAAGCCATCAGCGCAGCCCTTGTCCGCGAGACCCCCGACGGGCAGAAACCTGTCTACTTCACGAGCAAAGCCTTACAAGGGCCCGAAGGCAGATATCAGCAGATAGAAAAGGTTGCTCTGGCCCTCGTCAATGCTGCGAGGAGGCTCAAACACTACTTTCTATCCCACACCATCATCGTGCGAACCAATCAGCCGGTGAGGCAACTCCTGGGTCGGCCAGATATGGCGGGCAGGATGCTGAAGTGGTCTTTGGAACTCTCCGAATTCGACATTCAGTACGAAAGCAGGAAAGCCCTGAAAGCACAGGCCTTGGCCGACTTTGTCGCGGAGATGACCACTCACGACCTCCCCTCGGGGAAAGAACACAAGTGGACCATCTTCGTCGACGGAGCGTCCAGCTCGTCCGGTAGCGGCGCAGGGATCCTCCTGGAAAACG